AATATGTTATTCTCGAGTAACAATAGTTAATCTGAATTCCTGACGTCACTAAGCTAGCTGAAGAAGAGGGGCTCGACACCACTTTGCAGTGATACAAAAATAGTGTTTTTTTATGCTGAACACCCCCCCCCCCCCACGACGGCTTAGTAATTATGAAGGCTTATAACGCATAAAATCAAGTTTCGGTACTAGCGATGGACAGGTTACAAATAGCCCATTGTTTAACAACAAACAAAATGAACACGTACAAGAAATGGTCAAACACAACTCCACCGGGATGTGCATGGACCGAGAGACAGCACTAAACTCTTGCTGTTGAGAATTTAAATAGGAGAAAACACGAACAATAAAGAACTAACCATATGCTTCCTACAATAATCAACTCTTCCAGAGTTCATTTGTAATCCACGTCACTTAGTAGTTCATCTATAATCCACGTCACTTAGTTCAACTCTTCCAGAGTTCATTTGTAATACACGTCACTTAGTTAACTCTCTCAGAATTCATCAGTAATCCGCGTCACTTCGTCAACTCTCTCAAAGTTCATTTGTAATCCACGTCACTTAGTTCAACTCTTCCAGAGTTCACCTGTAATCCACGTCACTTAGTTCAACTCTTCCAGAGTTCACCTGTAATCCACGTCACTTAGTTCAACTCTTCCAGAGTTCATCTGTAATCCACGTCACTTAGTCAACTCTCCCAGAGTTCATTTGTAATTCATGTCACTTAGTCAAATCATAAATAAAAATAGGGAACACACAATCTCCAGGTGATCCCAAACCTCTGCACTACCGATGTTACTGAAGAACACATTAGCACTAGACTAAGAAATTCTCCATGAGAGTGTTCAGTAATGCCAAAATGGGAATGACTCTTGACAACGTGAAATGTGCTCAAGAATAAGGTTGCAACGTTCCATAGTCGGTATACCCGAGCGTTGAATCTTAAAACACGCATAAAAAGCCCATCGTTCTACCCTTTGATGTGTTTTATTTCGTGTATGACCTTGAAATGTTATCTCCTTATGAACATACTGTAAAATACGATTCTCGCTTGTGAATAAGTAAATAAAACGTTAAAATGAAACAAATTTCGAGTCTTGTAGATAATGTAAAAACAAACGGTTAGTAACTCGCACTAATACTTCTTTAAATAATGGTGTACGTCTATAGTTTCAGCTTTAATGTTTGCTTGTGCTTTTATAAAATGATTGTTTCTTGTTGTTTGTTTTCGAGCAAAGCCGCATTGTGCTATCTGCTGTGTCCACTGTGGAGAATCGAACTCCGGATTTTAGCGTTGTAAATCCGTACATTTACCGCTGTCTCACCGGTATATATATATTTATTTATTTATTTACCTAATAAACATTAATTTGAAGTACTATAGAAGTTTCTGGCTGTAGATTAGTGTACGTTGTTTATCAACTACACTGTAAATTATGTTGTTGTTTTTTCTAACATTAGTTTCTGGTTATTTTGTTGGTAGGAAACGTTAAGGTGTAAAAGTTGAGAAACACGTAATTTAGGAGGATCTGTGTTAATGGGCTGATGGTAATGATATCTTGCCATATAGAAGGTTTATCGCTACAGTCGACATGGTATGAAACTGTGAAGTATTACATGTAGAAGTATCTGCAGTACATAAACGATCAAAGTTCCAGATGTATAGGCTCTAAGATCAAAATGCACTCGTCTCATTTTTCCATTTCACGTGGAATTTCATTTAGTACTTTACTATTGTCAGCGTCATAGCTACAACATCTTGTTCAGATTACTTACAATCATAGAACCCACGGAAAACTATCCCTGGTTATTTGAAAAAAAATAAAAAACATACTCGGAAACAAAGGTCAAAGGGAAGGTATGTTTCATCCTTTTTTACGAGCGTGATAAAACATTACGATACATAATGTTAAAGGTCAGTATTTTCTCAATGAAGGTATTGTT